AAATTACCCAAAGTGGAATTGTTGGATTAAAAAGTGCACGCATTTGTGATTGTGATAGACATTGCCAAATAACCCTCTATAGGGGCTGTATTAATTTTAACTCCCACAAAGAATGAATGAGAGTGCCGGTTTGCCTACATGCCAGAAGGTTAGCAAATTTTTAAGATTTTTGCCAATCTTGTCGGTGATAAATAGCATTCTTAATGTCGTTTTAATATTTTTTTCTTACTGGGGGGCTGCACACTGTTTCATACATTTAGGGGCCATTTCTATTTCACTTAAATATCTATTCCTAGCCTTTGACCATTCTTTATTGGGATGTGACAGTGGTGTGTTGAAGCCGGCTTGAACCAGTTCATCAGATTCCAGTTGTTAGATTTTCAGGAATTTCATAAGCTGGTTTACATTATATCAATGGCCTCAAAGAGGCCACGGTGGGAATATTTACACCAGGGAATTGCAAAGCACCACAAGTCAGCAGAACACTCTCCCAACCACCCCACCCCCCACAGTTCCCCTCTAATTGCTAAACATTTACCAGCACACTTGCTGTTGAACTTATTATTGATACCTAGGAATCTCTTATGTGATAAGGAAATTAGCACCTTATGACATGAGTTGCAAATAATTTTCCCCCATTTGTCATTTTCTCGAATTTGCTCATAGTTTTCTTCCTGCCATCCTGAGATTTAAAAAAAAAAAATTAGTCAAATTTATCAATCTTTTCTAATGGCTTTTAATTTTGTTATAGTGAGAATGGACTTTCCACTACAAGTTACAGTGGAATTCTCCCATGTTTTCTTTCAGAACTTTTTTTTTTTGGCCGCACTATGCAGCATGTTGGATCTTAGTTCCCCAACCGGGGATTGAACCCGTCCTCCCTTGCAGTGGAAGGGCGGAGTCCTAACCTCTGGACCGCCAGGGAAGTTCCCTAAAACTCTGATGGTTTCATGTTTGACATTTTAATCTTAGGTCCATTTGCTGCTTTTCTTGGTGTAAAGTGTGAAGTATGGCTCCAACTTATTTTTCCAAAGCCGAACATTAACAAATGAGATCCTATAATCCATTTTTTCAAAAGCAACATGTTATGTTGAACTACATATTAATCCTTGTGGAATGAAGCAAAAGCAGTGCTTAGAGGGAAGTTCCTAGCCCTAAGTTTATATTAGAGGAGAGACTGAATTAGTCTGTTTCCAGTGTGTTAGTGAAAGAACCAAATAAACCCAAAGAAAAGGAGGGAGGAAGTAGCAAAGATATGAGTAAAAGTTAATGAAGTAGGAATTAAACGTTCGTTTTAGAGGATTAAGAAATACAAAATGTGATTCGTTGAAAATACTAATAAAATAGGCAAACTTTTGGAAAGATCAGTTTGAGAATTGGCAGTGATAAAGCAGGTGTAAGTGTGGATCAGTAGAGCTTTAAAGGGTAGTAGAAAACTATGACAATTTTATGTTAACAATTTTAAAGCAAATTGGACGAACTTCTAGGGAAAAAAACCTGTTTCTTCAAGAAGAAGAAAAAACCCAAGTAGTTTTAAGACTACTCATTAAATAATTTGAATCAGTACCTAAAACTCCATCCCCCCACCAAAAGCTAATTACTTATTTAAAATAGAAAAGATGTCCAAAATCCCTACCATGCTCAGACGGCTATACATGCAAGTTGTGAAGCATGGGACAGTTCCCGTCTTACATAAACTCAGAGACCAGGAAGAGAGAAAGCTTCCCTCCCTGGTTTCATGTAGCTGTTGTGACCTTGGTACCAGAATCAGATGAGGTACAATACAGACATTCTGTGTATGTGACTGCGTGAGTCATGACAGCGGAGGTTTGATACTTTCAAACCTTATAGATGCAGCTCAGTACGTTTAGGAGAATAATCCTCTTTATCTCAGAAGATGGAAGCAAAGCATTAAAACATTCCAGAAACATTTTTGATAAATTCTTAGCAATTAGGAATGAGTTTTCTTCACTTGTTGAAGTATAGTTTGTGAAATTCCAGAATTATTTTTTTACATGTGGCTCAAGATAGCAAAGCCCACCTCGTGCTGCTCTTGAGCATTGTGCTGTGTGTCCAAGACAGCAGATGAAGTGATCAAGGGTAGGGTTTGAAGGGAGAAAACTGAAGTCTTATTTGCAGGTGGTTTTCTGTTTAGAGAACACCACATAATCTACATGTAAATTGGTAGGATTAATAAAAGTTTAGCAAGGTCCCTAGAGTTAAGTCGGGGCTTCCCTGGCGGCGCAGTGGTTGAGAGTCTGCCTGCTGATGCAGGGGACACGGGTTCGTGCCCCGGTCCGGGGGGATCCCACGTGCCGCGGAGCGGCTGGGTCCGTGGGCCATGGCCACTGAGCCTGCGCGTCCGGAGCCTGTGCGGGAGAGGCCACAGCAGTGAGAGACCTGCGTACCACAAAAACAAACAAACAAACAAACAAACAAAAATATATATATATATATATAAACAGTCATATTCTTATTTGTCAGCAAGTTAGACAATATAATTTAATCAACTGTATTGTGTATAATAAAAATAAGGCACCTTTGAATAAGTCTATAAAAACTGAATAAAACTTTTAGAAGAATTATAGTCTTTATTGAAAGACACTGAAGAAGGTGAAAAAGAGAAAATGCTAATGAATGGAAAGACCAATATCATAGGGCTGCCCCCCCCCCGCCCCCAGCTTAACCCCAAATTCCACATTGCCAGTCAGAATTTCAACACGTCTTTTTATTACATCTTCACGTGCGCATATGCAAGAGAGCAGAGGGCTTTAGGGAAAAGTGGCTTGATTTGCCCTACCAATTAGGAAGGTAGTTTTGAAAAGCTACTCGCAACAGTGTATGTTGCACAGGATGGACACATGGACTAATGGGGCACACACCACAGTGGAGAAAATGGACCCTTGCATGTATACAAGTACTTGTAAGTGACAAAGATGGCTTTGTAGGTTAGTCAAGAAAGGGGTTAAGTAAATTTGTCTGGACCTTTGTTAGTCACACAGAAAAAGTAAAATGGGTCTCTCCTTTACGTCCTACAAAAAATCACTTCCGTAACTGAGCTCACAGATAAAATGTTGAGCCAAACAGTAAGTTTTGGAAAAATATATACCCTATGATACGATTAAAAACATTAAAAAAATATATAAAATAATGCCATCTATTTCTTGGTTATGCAACTATGTATATTAAAAACATAAAGAAATGCTAGGGAATGATGACCAGCGGGGGGTTGGGGGGAGGTGGAGGACACAGGGACATAGCAAAGAAGATTTTTTTATTTTCTTAGCTGAGAGGGTTTGGATGATCACTTAAAAAATCCTAAGAAATTAGACTCAGTTGTTTTTTTCACGTTCAGTTTTCTTGGTGACTTCCTTAGCAGAGTAAAATGCCCTAGCCAGGCACAGGCATCTGAACCTGTGGTGGGACCTTGGACAAATTAAGTAACCCCCTTGCTTCTCTGTTTCCTCATGTGTAAAGTGGGAATAATTACTTATACGTTGGTGTGAGGATTTTTGTTTTTTAATTTTATTTATTTATTTATTTTATTTTTGGCTGCGTTGGGTCTTTGTTGCTGCACGCGGGCTTTTTCTAGTTGTGGTGAGCGGGGGCTACTCTTCGTTGCAGTGCACAGGCTTCTCATTGCAGTGGCTGCTCTTGTTGCGGAGCACGGGCTCTAGGCGCACAGGCTTCGGTAGTTGTAGCACGCAGGCTCAGTAGTTGTGGCGCACGGGCTTAGTTACTCCGCAACATGTGGGATCTTCCCGGACCAGGGCTCGAACCCGTGTCCTCTGCATTGGCAGGCGGTTTCTTAACCACTGTGCCACCAGGGAAGCCCGGTGTGAGGATTTTGAGTGCACACATATATAGCTCATAGTATCCTATATGATATAGCTCCTAATTTTAGTCTGGATTCTAGAACTTGTAGGTCTTTCATTCAACTGCTAATAAAAGTCATTGATCCTTTCTAGTTTTCTTTCTTCCTTTTTTTTTTAATTTTAATTAAGTGCAGTGCTTTCTTTTATTGCTCTTTACCTTCCTTTCTTGAACCTTTTCAAGCCTTAGGATTTGTTTTTCCGTATTGCCTTTCTGCAAACTTTCTCAGTTGATGAGGTAGATGTGCTTTTGAACAGTGTAAGAAGCCGGTGGGAGTTCAAATTGCTTTGTGTTTTCCCTATCAGATTGCTCTTCCGATTGAATTATGGAAATGGGGGCATTTGTGCCCCTTTGTAAACAAAGAAGCCCTGTATTTTAAAAAGTTTAATTCCTTATCATTCTAGTCTTACCATCAGTGATTTTGTATTTATGAATCCATTTTTATTTTTATGGTTTCATGCTTTAATAATTGGAGTTAACACATTGCTTTACTTAATAATGGCAAATATTCTTCATAAATGCCTATGACATTGCATTATTTTTAGGTCACTTCTCTAGGTATTCCTAATATTGATTCTTTCTATAAACTTCATCTTTTTGCAGCCTAGAAACTTGCTGGCATACATGCTTTAAAATAGAAGTTTAATGCTACACAGCAAGACACATTTATTTTCCAGGGTGATCTAGCTTTTGCTGAGTTAAGAAGGTCTCTTTGTTTTATTTTGCATTTACTCTTTTTTTTTTTTTTCCTGTAGTAGTTTTCTGAAGATGACAGCTAATATTCTTTCCTGCTTTTGGAAATTCGACAGACATGTCGGCAATGAACAGGAGAGAGAATTTAATCTGGAAAAAAAATTGTGGAAAAAAAACCCTCAAGTGACTATCACCCCATCTGAAAATAGAATATGCTAAAACAATTGAAAGCAAAGCACCTGATGGGTTCCTGAGTCCCTCTGAGGAGTTTCTGACGTGTCTGTAGAATTTGTGTGTGCACACAGGGACGCGTGTCAGGACCACACGTGGGAGACCAGCTCCCCTGGCGGTGGCTCAGCCCGTGCCCCTTGCCCGAGGAGTGGTCGCGCGTATTGGAAACATTACGGAAGCACTGTTTTTGCCGTGTCCTCCAGGTCGGATCCGCACGCGACGGCAGAGCTCTGGGAGCGCCACCAACGTCACCTCCACGCCTTCCGACAGTCGGGGCCGCAGCCGCGCCAAAGTGGTCTCACAGTCCCAGCGTAAGAAGTATATTTTATGCTCTCTGCTCTCTTAGTTTTATCCAACAGCCATTCTGCAGCTGAAAATTTATAGTATTTTCATCGACTTAATGGAAAAACACATTTCTGTGGCTCTAAGACACTGTGAATAATCTTGATGTTTGTTGGATGCTTACAAGACGGGGTATTCCAGTGTACCTGTGTCCCCTTTCCAGGTGATTTACACTTTGTATCCTTAGGCAGGAAACATTGAAATGCAGTTTCCCTCCCCTCAAGCCTCCCAAAGTGAATCGTACTTGGGCTGGGACCCATTTTGCTGTTGATGAGGGATCCTGATGTCATTCAAGAGCAGCTCCGGGGGGAGATGACTTCATGCTGAGGTCTCTTCCCAGCGGCAATAAGTAAATCCATTCGAAGCTGCCCCCCCACATCACCCGCTGCGCTAACATGCCACTCTGCTCCTTTCCTCCTGCCAGTGTGGGCTCTCACTTCGCTCGGCTGCCCTCGCTCGCTTCCATTGCTGCTTCTCTGTATGTGTTGAGTCACCTGATTTGTTAACATCAGCCATGAAAGCAGCCGTGGGCGGGATGAGTGTGTTCTGATCTCTCTTAGGATTCAGGCCTGGTGTCTCACTTCCCGGCTTCCCGGTCTGTGCACTAGGAGTGGGGCGGGGCGTCAGGGCCCTCCTGGGCAGGCGACCATGGTGGAGGTGCTTGTCAGCTGATGGAGTCAGCCTCCTTCGTGGCCCCAGGAGCTGTCTGGCTTGTGTAGAGAGCGGCTAGTCTGAGGCCAAACCTTAGTTAGCTTCTCTCGTAGGTGTTTAGAATGCCTTCCTCAGCTCCTCCTGAATTTAGATGCTTTCCCTATGTCCCTTTGATAACTAGAGTCCTCATGTTAAAAGAAGCTTATGTCCTTTCTGAAAAGAAAGTGCAAGGTCAGACATACTGCTGTGAGACGACAGCACCCAGGCTTGTTTGTCTGACGCAGAAGCCCATGCTTTTAGTGTATTACACCATACCACACAGCATAGGTTGTGCAGGTGTAGTCCAGAAGCTTCTGCCTGGGGAGTAGTGTCCAGGCCCTGGTTATTCTGGTGAACCCTGATGATACCTGGAGTCACAGATAGATATAATACTCTGGTCATGACCTCATAAATATGAGTCGGGTCTTATCGCAAAAAAAATTTTTCTTGGCCAGAAATGTTCGAGACTCAGAATATAAGTCAATACGTTGAAATTGAGTTGAATAAAAAAATTGTATAGGGTTGTATAGGCTGTATAGGGTTGTTTCCTTTCTTGGAGAGTGAGGGCTGAACAGTATTTTCCATTTCTTTATGTCTGCTATTTATTGGCATTGGTCTCTGCAAGGGTCCCTGCCCCTAGCTGGGTCCTCTGCTTAAGAGGTGGTGGAAATAAAGTTCTTCTGTAGCGGGGGATGATAGAGCTTTAATTTTTCAGTCATAAAAATACTGCACTTTGCCTTGGTGATCCACTTGAAAAGCTCATCAGTTTTATTTTACTCACCAAATTCCACTCAAGGGAAAGAGACAACACCAGCAAACGACCAAGCCTGGACCTTAAACTTATATATATAAATCAAATATTCTTTTTTTTTTTTTACATCTTTATTGGAGTATAATTGCTTTACAATGGTGTGTTAGTTTCTGCTTTATAACAAGGTGAATCAGTTATACATATGTTCCCATATCTCTTCCCTCTTGCATCTCCCTCCCTCCCACGCTCCAAATATTCTTTTAAAAATTATTTTAATAGGTAGATAGGAGCACATCTAGATATTTTACGAATGTAGCTATACTAGCATTCATAGTTCTGGTTTAAGAGTAAGTAGATTTCGTTAATATTAAATTTAGGACAGTTAACGGTTGGCATCTTTTGAATAGTTGAGGACTTAAATATGTGAGGATTAATGTTTAAATATTGGAGAATTTGGCATAAGACATTCAGATGAAACTACCTAGTAGTGGTTTCTTCCACTTGGTTGATGTCTCTGGAGCACCTCCTGTGTGGTGAGCACCGTGTGCAGGGGTAGAGATACACAGATGGTAAGATGCAGTCACTTCTGCCAGGCTGCTCAGAGCCAGAGGGCAGGTGCCCCCAAAGGGCCCGGCATCTTCTCTGCATCTCGTCCGCCTGGCACTGTGCCTGGCGCATGGTAGGTTCATAAGTGTTTCATGAGCAGATCTGAAATAAATGCTAATACAGTATGATGTGTATAAAGTAAAAATAAGTACGAAAATAGGCTAGGAGGAACAAGACCTAGAAAAACAGCCCTTTTGCTAATGTGTTTGTGAACAAAGACATTTGTGCTGTGTTGCATGCTGACCTTCTGTATTGTGTTATTGTCTTTTAATCCACTTTTTGCCTGTCCTTTGGTCTGCTCTCATAATCAAGGATCCAGATCTGCTAATCCTGCTGGTGGTAAGCCATTTCTCTTCTTGCTTTTTTTTTGTGTTTGGCATTCTCCCGCACCCCATGTTCCTTGCACAATATTAATTTCTCTCTTTATTATGAGCTTAGTTAATCTTGCTGCGTTTTTTCTGTATGTTCAAATTCTAGAGTTTGAAATGGATTTCTTTTCTCCTTTTATACAGCTTAATCGTTTATTTGTGTGCTCAGATTTTATGGGCAAAATTAATAGATCCTGAGACATGTTCTTCATGGGAACGTGTACTGATAATTTTATAATGAATTTCACTTAAACTGTAGTTAAATCATTATAAAGTACGAATTTTCGTAAGTAGCCACCTGAGTGATTTATTTGAATGATGGAAGGGGGTTTGTGTGTGTGTGTGTGTGTGTGTGTGTGTGTGTGTGTGTGTGTGTGTGTTTAATTTCCAGGTAAGTGTTATTTTGAAGGTTTTTCCCTCTGGATCATTCTATTCTGCTACATGATAACGAATACTTGATATTTGCGAATTTTATTGCCTCCTCTGCTTAAGGAGATGATCTAAGTTAATGACTGCCATTTGAGTGTATTGGTACGATCCTTAAAATTTTGCTGCCTTCTTTAAGAAAGAATTTTGTTTTACAAGAAATGGTTATATAGGTATGTAGTCACTTAGCCATTTATAAAAATAACCATAATAATAATATAATTATTATTATTATTATATAATAATAACCATATTATGATTTTAATTTCTAATTTTATTGCATTCACATCAGGGAATGTTTTCTATATAATTTCTACCTTTGTAAAAGGTTGTTGAGATTTCCTTTGAGGCTTAGTACAGAGTCAGTGTTTGTACTATTCCTGTGTGGAAATGTGAAAGGAATGTGTATTCTGTTCGTTGGACTATGCACTGTGTGTATATGCGGGAGGTGTGTTTATACATATCTGTATAGTTTTGACTGCATGCTCTGCCAGTTTCTGAGTAGTGTATTAATCTTTCATTAGTATTAGTCTTTCTGAGAGATATATTAATAATTACGGCCTTTTCAATCTCTCTCTGTATTTTTATCGTTTTTGTGTTTTCTATCTCAAAGCTATGTTACGTGGAGCATAAAGTTTCATGATTATTATATCTTTAAGGATAATTATTCTTTAATCAATATGAAACATCCTTTTTTCTCTTTTAATGCTGTTTTTTATTCTGTTTTGTTGTTTTGTTATATGTATGTTGTTTGTCTCTTATAAACAACATACAGTTGAGTTTCATTTCAGTTTTTTTAAACCAATCCAGGAATCTGTCTTTTAATAGTTGAATTTAATCCAGCCACATTTATTATGATTACCGATATGTTTGAGCTTATTCTTATCATTTTATCTTGTGATTTCTGTTTACCATATTTCTGCCTCCTTTTCCATTTGTTAGATTAATGGAGTCTTCCTTTAGCGTTTAAGAAATTTCTGTTATATTTCTACTCTTTCAGCCATTTTTTAACATACCAACTCCTACAGAAACCAAACCAGTTAATAAATAAAACGGCTTTGTGATTATTTGTAGAAATTTGCTGTGCAACTGAGAGGCTTTTTGTACTCAACCTGAGCCTGCTCTTTTGAATCAGAAATTTTGCAGTCATTTCTGTAGAACTCCATCTCTAATTCTCCTGGGTATAAATACTCTTTTATGAAAATTTGATGTTCCTTTATGCTCCTTAGTTTTTGAAAAATTAGTGATGTTACCAGCTAGAAAGCTATTTTTATATAAAATTCTCTTGATATTTGATCCAAACTCATGTGTAAACTGACTTCTGAAATTACTGTAATTTATTTCTCGATTTACATCCATTATTCAATTTTGTTTCGCTTCATTTTCAGCTGGCAGCCGATCAAGTTCCCCAGGGAAATTGTTGGGAAGTGGTTATAGTGGCCTTGCTGGGGGTTCCTCGAGAGGCCCACCTGCGACACCCTCTTCAGAAAAACGAAGCAAGATTCCCAGGAGTCAGGGATGTAGCCGAGAAACAAGTCCAAACCGCATAGGATTAGGTGAGAATTCTCAAAGATCTTGAAACACCATTCCCAACCTGGTCATAATTTTGATTATAATCTAATGACTTTGTCTCCTGTGGGAAATAGCTGTTTTTGAACCGAGGATGTCACTTTGCCTGTGTTAAAAAGACATTTCAGTTTGTGCTTTTTACAGATGATAGCAGGTTCAGTTTTCAGTTAGGACTAACAAATATGTGGGGTTTACCTTCACACTGATGTGGGAAAGAACTACACCATTGTGGGCTTCTGTGGGTTAGAGTCATTTTGCAAAACATTAACCTGGGGGAATGGGCAGGCTTCTTTGCTGCAAAATTTCCTGCACAGGAGCACTGTTGCTTTTTCCATTTGTCTTTCACTGATTAGCAATAAATAGCCATTAACCTATATAAATATTCAGAAGCAATTTGTAGGGTCCACATTTATTTTGATTTTGCTCTTCTCTAACCCAATTGGTGAAAATTATCATCACAGAATATGTGTAGCTGTTACTTTTGACATAATGTTGTTCAAACATAAAAACCAAGAAGAGGAAAACTAGGTATATATAGTGTCTATTTTTGTGTTGTAGTGTTTAGCTTCTTTGTAGTAGGATTTTATATGAATGACTCTCAGCAGCTTAACAGTCTTTCACTCTATTAAAATCTAATTTGTATGCTCCCTTTTTAGTAAAACGGTTAGAAGTCTTGTGATCTACTGTGAAAAATCTGTGTTCATACTCTTATAGTCTCACCTGCTTTCTAAGGGTAAAAACCTACTAATGTGAAATCAGAATACTGTATGCTTTTGTCCTGTTGGCTTACCTTTGTCATTTATTCGTTTATCTCCTCAATAACTTTTACTGAATACTGGAACGTTTACTGTGATGTGCTAGGCACATGTTGTTAGATCTTATGATTAGAAGATAAATGCAGTAGATTTAGCTTCTGACTCCAAAGAGCTTGTGGTCTTAGAGGTGAAAATGTAAGACAGTATGACAGATACCCTGGCAGCTGCTCTGGGACCGTAGAACAGGAATGTCTGCCCCAGTCCTCCTAGGTTTCCTGCCAGGGGAGCCTTCCCAGAATCGGCCCTGTTTCGATGAGGTGTATAAGGTGGCACCAGGCGGGGTGGGGAGATGAGGCAGAGAGGAGCCTCTGCAGAAGCGGTCAGACGAGAGGGAGCGTTGTGCGCCCTGGGACCACTAGTGGTTTATCTGACGATAGCCGAGGATGTTTGTCAGAGTGGGTGGGAGATGGGGGCAGAGGGACTGGTAGGGTCCAGCTCACGAATGTCCTTGAAGACTCCCTGAACTTCGAGAAGGCGGTGGGGAGCAGGTATTTAAGAAGTAGAATCGAAAGGATTTGGTTTGACCAGCATTTCCGAAGCAAGTGAGAAATGTAATCAAGCCGTGGTTTTGTTAAAATGCTGCGTGATGCTGACCTTCTGTGGGCTTTATGGAACATGGTCCCTGAGCTGACCAGTTATTTGCATCCAGTAATAGCAAGTAATGTGGATACAACCAGAGAAAATATCATGACTGCAATATCTACTGATAAATTTCAGATTTGTTGTTGTCACATACGTGTATTTGGATCTGGTTTTGTTTGGAAAATACATTTGATTTCAAACCTAGGCTTGAGGTTTCAGCTGTCCTTTTCCCACAATTAGTTAAGTTTATAGGATGTTTCTTGGTGATCCTGACTTGTTTCATACTGCTAAAAATTCTTTTCTTTTGTTTTTGTTTCTGTTTTTGTTTTGCGGTACGCGGGCCTCTCACCACTGTGGCCTCTCCCGCTGTGGAGCACAGGCTCCAGACGCGCAGCCTCAGCGGCCATGGCTCACGGGCCCAGCCGCTCTGCGGCATGTGGGATCCTCCCGGACCAGGGCACAAACCCGCATCCCCTGCATCGGCAGGTGGACTCTCAACCACTGCGCCACCAGGGAAGCCCCAAAAATTCTTCCCTTTTTTGGGATTTTACTTTTTAAATTTATTAAAGATGCCATTTTTACCTTCTTGAAATTGGGAAATAATCCAACCTCGATTATCTAACATGACTCTAGGACCTGGCAGTCTATGCTCTTAAGTATGAAGTTTGCACTGTGGGTAGCTGGAAAGACAGCGTTTAATAAGCCTTTGAAAGAAGTCCTATGGAACATCATCCATCAGTAAGAACTAAATAGGAGCCTGTCAACCTTCCCAAGCGTTCTTATTTGAAACATCATCTTGAAGAAAGTTGTTTCCTTGATGCTCGTTAAGGGGATTAGTTGTGGATGGAGCTTTGAGGTCATGCATACAATTCTGATTAAAGAAGATACTTTATAGACATTTTTGCACATTGTGAGAATATACATACACAGTTATAAAATATATATGAGTAAAATACATCTTTCCACTTTTTTCCTCTAGTACTGCTTAGAGATTCCATTTTATGGGGTGTCAGATATGTTAGCATTTTTCTGTAATAGAGTGTATATTTCTTTGATCATTTAGTATATACTGGGTATATGTCTATGTGTCTAAACATTTGGTTCATTGTATAGCAACTTTAAATATAAATATTCAAAAAAAAGTAGGAGTATCTTTTAAGAATATTTTCTATAATCCCCAAACCGGTTAATAGTTTTCCTCATAGCTTGGAATTTGCCCTGAGAAATAATTCTAGTTATCTGCAAATTGTATTTGGTTCAACTACGCCTTTTTTTGTTTGAAATAATATTTCTTAACTAAATTTTCCGGTTTCACCTGTGATAAAGATGATGTCAGAGCTCTTTTTCTTTAGCATTTAAGGTTTCTTAAGCAAAACGGGATGTAATTCCTGTTGGATAACTAAGAAACAAAACCCTCCCACGCCCTTCTTTCTGAAATGTATTCCTTCATAAACTGAGCAGATGGAGGAGTGTATGTGTAAATTGTTTCCTTCTACGTGTGACTTAGGGTAAAGTCACACGAATTGCTGACCTCTACAGCAGTCACGTTTTGGAAGTTGGCCTTTGGTTCCCTTGTTCTCCCAACTGTCTACTGAAAAGGCTATGAACACATTGGACTTTCTGCCCCTAACAGTCTGTGGATATGCATTTAAAGTGTTCTCAGATGCTTTTCTGGTTAAATGTGTTTTGAAAAAAATAGAAATTAATAATTCCTTTTAGCTCTTTGTTAGATTAGACTACTGTGTGCAAGACCAAGACATGAGAATGTCTAGGCTAGAGAGACGTTTCATGTCTTTAACTTCCGGGAGTTTTCATTGTTCTTCTTGTACTTCTGCTTTTGATAGGAATTCTGGTAGGCTCCTTCCTTGAAAGACAAAAGTCAGGAGTTCCCTTAAAACGCTATAAAGGTAGAGTGTCACTCAAGGAATGAAAACCAGTCAGAGGGTTTTCCAGGCTTCCCAGCGTTCCGTGCAGGCCTCCAGAACTCCCTGAGAAGCCTGCCTGCTTTTAGGAAGCTCACGCAGCAGATGTGTTTTATCATCTCTCCCTCCTCTGCCACCCCTCCTCCAAAACCTGTTCCCACACAGAACGCTCACTCTCGGTGCTCAGTACACAGGGTGATTCGGTATGTTGTGGTGTAGCTTTGACGCCTAATCAATTAGTCTTTGTAAAAATCGTTTATGTGTATACTTACTTTAAATCCTCCCTGTAGGTTAGTCTTTGGAAATGGTGTTGCAAGTAAGGGGGAACTTCTTCCTCTTGTGTTTTAAATTATCCAACATTTGAACTGTTGATTTCACTGCTAAGTGTACTTGAATGAAGTTTGGGGCCAAACCATGCACAGAATTGTAAACAGAATTCTTTTTCTCCATGTTCTTACCGGCCATATGGTAAAGAAGGCGGTCAGGACAGATGGGTGAATGGACGTTCTCTGGGCCAAATACGAGGACGGTAGACCTCGTTAAGAATTATGATTGTTGTTATTTCACATGGCATCTACCTGTTTCTTCTCACGTTCTTCATTGCCCTCACAAAGCAAGCTCAGCCTGGGGAGAGAGCAGAGCTTCCCCATTCTTGTAATATATCTGCTCACTTAAAGCAGGGAGTGAGAACTATGTGAAAATTCAGACGTAATCGGGCAAGAGCTATAAGAAAATGGTCAGCTAAGCATGCCCACGTGTGAAGACCTATCAGGACTGGCCTTACTGCTTTTTGATGATTGTTTTGGAGTGGCCAGTGGAATAAGACAAGGTTTTCACGTATGCCTTTCAGCAGGGACCGCAGACATACCTACGTACGTACACTATCTCACAGTACCCTTTTCATTTAAATAGTGGGGACTCTCTCCCTCTCTCACCTTCCTAACTGGAGGCTGAGATCTAGAGCGGCTGAGTGGCTGGACCAGTGAGCTAGCATGGAGCTGGAGAGGGCACTTCTACATTAGATGTGGTAGTGGCCCCCCTAAGGACTCTTTTGTAGGTTTTATGCAACTTTTCCTTTACTGACGGGATCAGTAGATACTCCCTAGTTTTTTAAGTTTAATTTAGCACCTGTTGCTTTGGCCTTCATGGTAGGAGCAGGAGGTGTTTAGAATGTTATCGAGAATTGCTGATTAAATTGTCACTACTACTCTGAGTGAAAACTCAGTGCTTCCACGTCACTATAGCAAAATGAAGGAGAGTTTAGGAATTCCTAGAGAATTCCAGATGAAGCCCCATTTTGACTGATGGCTGAGATTGCGTTCCTGGGCTTGACCTTGCCTTGCTCGCCAGCACAGACCTGATAAACCTTTGCACATCACTTAGGTACCTTTAGGGTCTCATTCACCTCTGGCACTGAGCAGAGACCACAATAGGAAGTTGGTTTGGTTTTTCACTTCCATGTTCTTCTAACTCAGGGAGTTTTATGATTCTGGTTTGTAAGACATTCTTGTTACGGTTTGGCCATATAATAAATCTACCTTTGCTCTGAAATTACAGGCTTTGCTCATTGCAATGTAGTAAGCATGGAGGTTTTTACATCAGTGAATCAAGTTTATATTTTCCGAACCTTCTGAGAAAGGCATTTCTGTCTAATCCAGAATTAGTAGA